ATTTTATCTAAAACCCAAATAGCACAAGTAGACGTCCTAAAGACACGCTTCGAATATTCGAGAAAAGCTATACCGAGAGGCATACGCCACTGTGACAAGTCTCACGCGGATTTCAAAATACCGGCGCCTATGGACATAACCCTGATATTGATATTATTTTAGTGATGACGTTAACCATACATTTAAATTACTTTAGTACGTGAGAGAGAAAGTTAGAAATTAACATGAATATGGAATTATAATTTGACTATACAATATACTATTATCCATGTTATATCAGCTATGTTTCTTAACATTTATTATACTTTTTATCGGTCCAATAAAATTAATTTTGCTTCTTAAAAATTTATATGTAACGAGACATGAGCATGTATATGAATGGAAAAAACTTCCTCGAGAGCCAATAAATACAGTAGGCTAACACAATGCTATTAGCAGACCAGGATACAGCTCTCTGACCAATTCAGCATCTACTGTATTCATTCAAAAAAATACTCATCAAATAACAAGAATCTGAACACATATCACGTGATGGAAATCGTTCGTGAGATAAAAGCTCTTTTTAAAAATGTACGGAAGTACTGCTATGTACCTAATCCACCAGGCGATGCGGAGAATATATGCATGCAAGGAAACAAGAAATATATTATGGACACATTCAGATTTTTACATTCAGAGTTATACGAAGGCGTAGAGGGGCCAACAACTTTATTTTTATGGAATTTCCACTTTGGAGGTGAACTGCAATAGTCACTTTGACCAAAGATCAGTGTGTGTATCATCTTTGCTTTGACCTTCGAAGTGAGAACAGAGAAAGTTACAACTATTACCTCCACAAGATAACACGCGTCCACCTCACACAAAGCTGCCTCTAGCAACAAGACAAGACAGCTGACCTCCCCCTTCAACCCTAACATTGAGGTACGGATCAAGGGAGCCAGAGGAGATGCCAGCCCTGCCGGCCATATACCGCAGCTACTATCTGGACGACGAAATTACTCACGACCAGATAGTAGCAAGTAGAATACAGGCTGCAGAGGACAATCTGCTCAATTATGTGGCCAAAATAACAACTGAAAGGATGGACATCACATCCCCCCCTAGGAGACTGGAGAAAAGGCCCAGGGAGCAGTTCGGAGCCCCTGCAGATAATACAAGAAGCAAGAAAGCGAAAAAACCTGAGGACGACGGATTTGGGATGCCAAAATGGACGGGGGCTTTCCAAAAAAGGCAGTGGGAAACTTTCTCATTACATCGGCGTCGCACTAAATATTCCGAACCGATGGGCCAGTTTCCCAGTATTTTTTAAGCGGAAAATCACGCCATAGAAAGGTGCATTCAGTTCAACATCGACAGGAAATACCGGAACAAGGAGATCGCTATCCTTTGCGACAGCCAAGCAGCCATCAAAGCGTTGAGCTCCTTCAACATCAAGATGGTTTGGGAATGCCTAGACAAACTCAACAATCTAGGCAGGAACAATAAGGTGATCCTCCTCTGGGTGCCGTTGCACATCAGGGTGGATGGCAAATGAACAAGCAGACGAAAAGGAGCATCAACGCCACTGATCGGACCAGAACCATATTCTGTGGCCTAGAAAATTCTCATTTCTAGTAAGAACTTAATAAAGCTGAAGAAGCAATGAGAGTAACACACTGGCGAAGACTTCCAGGACTGCGGCAGGCCAAAGATCTCCTCGGCAATTTCAACCAAGCAAGATCGAAGACACTGATCAATCTCAGCAATAACGGGATTTCTATATAAGGGGGCATTGTAGACTCAAAGAACACCTAAGGAAGCTTGGCTTAGAGGAGGACATCACCTGCAGATTCTGCGGGAAACATCCAGAAACATCCCAGCACATCTTGCTAGAGTGTTTTGCTGTACACCACAAATGATCGAATATATTACTGGGAGCATACCAGCTGACCGTGGAAGAAATACCACAAACAGATCACCTCAAAATCATCAGATTTTCTGAAAGAATTGAAGCTTGAGGGGCTGCTATAAACAAGAAAACCTTGAGATAGCAGAAGAAGATGGGGCACAATAGATCTAATGAATCTAATAAGGTCGCAGCGCATCTGTCACCATTCACACTTACCAATGAACAAATACCAATCGGTAATGCAGACACACGCATGCTAGTCTTTGAATTTTCGTGAGATCAGCCTTTGTGGTAGGCTCGACTGGTTCTGTCTTTCCAGCCAGACCATCGCTCTATAATTGAATTAACGACAATAAACGAGTTATGTAAATTTGGATGCTTACAGAAGTTATTTGATTCGGGGACAGAGTTGCATCTTGTTGTTATTTAGTTTTCGTAATTCCATACTGTTCTTTTGATTCAACGATATTCAGATGAAAAATTAATGGTAACAGATTCGGTTGTTATAATCCTAGACTGCGCCTCGGATTACAATTTTCAACCTCATTTGTTATTTGCTACATATCGGCCTTATATAACAATAATAACTGTATAAAAATAGGGAATGCACCATATAGTTGAATTTTCTTTTGTTCAATGATAAATGTATTCTGACAGGGTATTTTTGCGGATTTGTCTATATACAATAAATTTACGCGAAGTTGTAAATTAATAATAGAGGTATGTATAATGAATACCTGGATTATCGTAATCAACGGTAATATGCTGTTGTGGATACCGAGATGGATACGTCCTTATGAATTATAAAGATTGTTAAATAATGATATAACAATTTCATGAAATGTGCATAATATAGGTAGTTAAATCCACGTCCACTAATCTGGCTGCACTTATAGTAGGTAAATATTTTCCGATTAGTCTTACCATTTGATCATTCTTCGACTTCGATCCCTATGTAGAATGATTCAGCAAAAAACCTGTAGAATCATCTCTACCTGAAAGAAAATGACACATGATGAATAGGTATATACCTATACTCCTATACATACTTACATTTATTAGTTGAAATGTAAGTAGGTATAGGTTGATTTTGGTACCTCGTTTATTACCATATACATATATGAAGAAGGTAATTTGATTAATTATCATCATAATATACAGGGTGTATCTGAACAACACTGAAACATTTTGAGGTATGAGTCTGTGATGAAAATGAAGGTGGGCATCTGCTATAATTTTTTTGAGAAACCTCTTCTGAGAATTATAGAAAAATGGTTTATCTATTACCCCTATATATTAAGCTGAAGACACGAAACTTGGTAGATATTATTTGTCAATAAAACTACACATTTTGGAATGTTTTCAATCCTGAAGTATGCTTAGAAGGTTTTGAAATATTCAACCCCTAAGATATTTCTCCTTACAACTCTTTTTGGATAAAAATTTTCCTCCCAAAAAAACATAGCACGTGCTCAAGTTTTCAGGGAAAATGAAAAAAGAAGTCATTATTTTTTAAATCTCCGGAGGGGTGTAACTTTTCCGAGGAGAGCGTTATAAAAAATATATACCAAATACCCACCTTCACTTTCATCACAGAATCACTCCTTGGATTTTTTAGGACTTTTTTTTATCGCTTGGTGCGCACGAAAGGGAATCCCTATAATGTTCGAAGAACATCGTGCGTACCTAGGGAGGATAGAGAGAGGAGGTAGGTATGGAATTTTTCTTGAACTTATGGAGGTTATGAGTTCCTGGAAATAATATTATTTCGATACACCCTGTATAGTTATAATATCTCAAGCGAAGCTTCCCAAGGAGTTATAACCTCCAAAAGTTCAAAAAAAGTTCCTACACCTATATCTCCTCTCCATGTCCTCCCTTCCACGATCATTAAAGGTTTTTCCTTTCGTGATCTCCAAGAGATAAAAAATATTAAGGACAATAACTTTTTCTACAAGCGAGCGTGATTCACCCTATACCCCGCACGCATTTCAATTTGGAAAGAGTCATTTTCCCGCACTATAGTGTGGGAAAATTTTTCCCGCACTAGTGCGAGAGGAATATGAAAGTTTAAGCTTATTGTTTGTTGCAATATTGAGTATGATTCTTTAGAATCATCCATCAAATTGCACTATTTATTTTGAAGATGAAGAAATATTGAAAAATAAACATCGATTGTTGATGAAATGGATTGATCTGATGTGGAAAACATTTATTGTTGTCATGCCAGTCCAACCACAAATTAGTTTGTAATTGTCGGAGTGACAGCGTTACTGTCATTTTGGATTCAGTGGATCATACATATTATGTGATCAAAAACTTCCAGCTACAGATGCGATACAGTTACGTTATTGCCCACATGAGAAGCAATACACGCGTTTGATTGAATAATGGCCCAACAATAAAAACATTAAATCACTACATAAAGAATAAGTTTCTCTTTCAGGAGGCCGTAGCCCGTGTAGCTCCCTAAGGCGACATTTCTTGACTCATGTTCATCGGAACTCGGAACTTTTCTTTCTCTTTTTGGTCGAAGAAGCCGCTGGTGAAGTTTGGCAGGCTAATTTCGGGACACCTGTATATGCAGAAATATTGAACTTGAGGAAATAAAGTCCAGATGAAGAAAAAGTTGATACACAACTCCAGTTGTATCTATATAAAAATCTTGTACTATTAGAAACATCAAATAGGCACAAGGTCAAAATCTAGGGTTATGGACGTAGTGTTGGGGGGAGCCTAGTCATTCCTATAGCGTTTCGGCGCATATGCCTCTCCAGCCAGCCCACGTAGCCCCTTAGGAAAAACCGTTTCAAATTTCAATTCAAGCAACGTCTGAAGTCTGATGAAGTCTGAACCCTGAACCACATTGAACTTTGATAATAGGAATAGAGTATCTTTCAGTTCAGTGTGAGTGGGAGAGTGGGACACACAGTATACACGCCTCGCTTTTGAGCCAATCCGAACCCGAGCCTATTCACATTCCATTCACCATTCACTTCAAGTTCACTAGTGGTAGTGAAAGGTAGCGTAGCCTATACACTGGGATTAGTGACGCGCGAAAGCTGAACGTACAATCTAAAATCGGTTAGTGCAGTTTGTAATTGATCGAGAAATGGGCAAGGGAGGAGAAAAACAATTTCAGGACACGGAAAAGGGGGCTCTTGGAGTAAATCTCACAAAGCCCAAAGGCGAACAAGCATCAGTGAGTTCCTTTAAACTTTCATTTTTACCCCAAATCGATTGGCACCTACCTATAAAAGTACATATTTACTAAATGCTGTTTCTTTGATTTTTCCTAGGTACAATAATTGTAAAATAACCATCATGTATGAATAATGGGAAAAAGGTGCAGATATTATCCTTGATTATATACACTAGAGTGAATCCTCAAAGCCATTATGTTATGTATGAATAATAGGAAAAATGTGTAGGTATTATTAATATAAGAGTATACTCTCATATAATTATGCTGATGACTCGGACATTGACAATAGGAACAAATTTGAAATTGAAAAGCAGTGGCCTAACGCCTATAACTGGTGCTTATTTCTTTCTCTAATTCTTTCACCAGCTAGGTTTCTAGTAGAGCAACGATGGCTTCCTTAGACTCGGACATTAACAATAGGAACAAATTTGAAATTGAAAAGCAGTGGCCTAACGGCAATAACTGGTGCTTATTTCTTCCTCTAATTCTTTCACTAGCTCTAGTAGAGCAACAATGGCTTCCTAAAAACGTCTGAGAAACACTTCGATTCTTGATTTTTACCTGAAACATTTTACCTACCTATAGTTTGCGTTATGGTTATAGATCTGAACACATTCTAAAATAATATGAGATCTGAGATCAAGGTGCTATATAGCAGCAAAATTCTGTATTTTTAAAACGCTCTCGTGATAAGATAAAAAAATGCAGGTTATTATTTAAATATGTGGCGAAACGTCAACGTATTATATATTTTTATCGTGAAAATCTTGTATTCAATTCGGTAGTAAGGAGTTGAGGACTAATTTAGCCATGAGTAGATTAAAGAAAAATCGAGTTTTCAAAAAACGTTGACACCTTGACACCTCTTTATTCTGAAACCTATATATATAGGTAAGCATTTTCAGACGTTAAAATCATCACCATATTGTATGATTAAATTCAAATCAATACCAAAGGAAAAACAGAATTATACCAAGTCGGTCGACCACATGACAATAATTATCAAAGCTACTTTATAATATATGTATAATTAGGTACTCATCAACTCGCTCATCATGTTCATGTATTTCATAATTTTCAGAAATAGTTCAATGAATCTTTGTATCCAATGATGCGAAAGGTCGAGTAGTTCTCATTTTCTGGTATGTTATCAAATTGTATCTATAGAGGTACTATTGGATTTTTTTTTTCAATAATGGTAGAATTACTGTTTTTCAAAAATGGATGGTGCAAAGGTTGTTGTGCGTCACTCCCCATACGTTAACAACTCGGTTAACAATCCTAAGGAGGAAAAGAGCAATGATTCAGCAGAATAACTCATATCTCAACTATTAGGCCCTTTAAAGAGATGCATGATTCAAGATATCAACTACGTACTTCATGTAACATTTATTAATTTTCTGAATATACATTCTTCAATACGATTTAAAAATGATTTGTAATGTTATTGTACCCTTATCGTATTAACAACACTTATTTTCCTGTAGCATTGTTCTTCTTTCACATATTATGTTATTAAGTTGTTAGAAGTGCACATGTACGGCCAGTGTTCTCATATATGGGGTTTAGCACCCAAACATTTTGGTGATGCCACACTCACCTCGACACTCACTAATACTCTTCGACTCGCTTCGACTTCATTGGAACACCGTAGAAAAGTCGGAGACTTTCAGCTTTTCTATAGATATTTTCACGGGAAATTTTCCTCAAAACTGTCTGCTATAATTCCATCATTAGCAATACCCGAGGCAATACCACTCAGACGAACTCGACAGGCCCAGTCAGCACATCCTTTCGTTGTCAACGTTGAAATATGTCGAACAACACTTTACCAAAACTGGTTCGTCTAGAGAACGGCAAACGTTTGGAATGGGCGTGTACACCTTAGTAGAACTTTTAACTCACACCATGTTTATAATGATCATTTTATACATAAATAATGATTGACGACATATTTCGATCGAAAAATCAACTGGAATGTTTTATTTTTGGACATAAATAATAGTACCTTCTGAAAACGGGCCGTCTTTATGACGTAGAAACCCTCGTAGAAACCTCATCTCGCCATAGTTCAAAGAAAATACCAAACGCTCGACGGAGATTGAGGCAACTGATATATTAATTCTTTCAACTGTGATCTCGCGCTAATTCTCTCTGTCAGAAATCATGTATCATTCATTTCTGTCTGGAATAGTCTTGTTTCAGTATTAGGGTTCTGACGTCACATCATCGTCTCGTTTTCAGAGGTCCGAAAAATCGGGGATTTCAATAATTTTTTATAAAACGTAGCAAGAAACGGTTTGCGGTGGTGAGCTAGTTTGGGTGAGTTCTATCGAATTATGAAATAACATTTTTTTGTGATATAAGCCCATTGTCTACCAATGGAAGTATTCCCAAGAACTTATAACCTCCAAGAGTTCAAAAAAAAATTCAACAGCTGCCTCCTCTCCCTATTCGCCATATAGGTACGCACGATGTTCTGAACATTAGGGAAATTTCCATTCGTGCGCTCCAAGAGATACAAAAAATGCCAACAGCTGTATGTCAGATCAGAATCTATTCATTATAAAAACTCTACATCAAGAATTGAAGCTCCATTTTTTATATTTTCAAAGTTAGTTCCAATCTTCCAACTTTGGCTGAAAAATCGTTGAGAAAATTGGCTCTGAATGTGAGTGGCCAAAACTCGAACTGTTTGAAGCTTATGAGAGTGATTCTATTTCTGAATATTGGACAATTTTATGTCTTTGTTTTTCTTCGTGCTGAAACTTGGAAAAAGCTGGAACAAGGTGAATAATCTCGCCGTTTTAAAAAAATCAGAATTACCCGAACCTTTTGCATCCATACTGGATTACGATTCGGCTGGATTAAAACTGATTGTGTATATATATATACACATACAGGATATAAAAAAAAACTTCATCAAACCCTCGATTGAACCCTTCCGAAATAGGCTTATTCAAATCATACCTATACGACAATGCACCCCGAAAATAATAGAGATTCCCTTTCGTGATTTCCAAAAGATAAAAAAACAAACGTAGAAGAATAATTGGACTAACACTCCATATCAATATAATTAATGTGATCAATTGCTAAACTGAGTAAACGTGAAAAATATGATAATTCTCTCGATAATTCTGATAAAAACATTATGAAAATCATGAAATTGCACCAAAGTTGAGTTTGTCTGGATAGTAACGTGAAACTCAAGAGAAATTTCATATTTCATAATAAATCACGTTTAGAAAAAGATAAATATCATCTATTTCGAAACAAATCTACAAAATTTCACCATTTGAAATAAAAGAAGTTTTCTGTTTTTCCTCAAGACACACCTGGATTCTGATACCGATTTTTATTTGGATTCAATTCGGGTAATATAAGTGGAATATTTCCACCAAGTACGGATAGATTATACAAAGTGCTTCAAAAGATATGACCAATTGAAGATTTTGCCAAAATCAAGATAACGTCCTGTATCTCAGCTACATTTGAATCTGAAACACTCTGTATGTACGAGAAATCTACCTACCAAATAAATGAGAAAATATTGAATCAACAATGAAAGAGTATTAATAATCAATTGAGAATCGAATAAATCACAATACTATTTCAGAGTGCAATGAAATATTGATAAGGTGACAACACTTCGAAAAACGTAGTTGAGGTTAGCAAGGTTAACAAATTCATTTTGTTGATATGTGGCTAAATCTATAACAACTAGGTGTATAATATATGAACCTATAGGTATGCAAAAAAAAATCACTAGAGAATTTCATTAATATGAAAGCCTTATTTATCTTATATTTTGTTTCAAGTATTATGTATATTATTATGCAGTAGCCAATACAAATATTTTCAACATTTATCATTTATAATAAGAGCTTGAGGACAGGGGTATATCCTACTAAGTGGAAACTTGCTCAAATAATTCCTATTTTCAAAGCGGGAGATAAGAAAAACGTATCAAACTATCGTCCGATATCACTCCTCGACCATTTTGGGAAAGTTTTTGAAAACTTAATCACACAAGGACTGTTCTTCAAGGCAAAACATTTACTTCCTATTAATCAACACGGATTTTTCAAAAAAAGGTCAGTGTTATCAAATTTAGTTCCATACGTCCAGGATATATTTCAAAGAATGGAGGCGAGTATGTCGGTTTGTTCTGTGTATACCGATTTCTCCAAGGCTTTCGATAGAGTGCACCATGCAACTCTTATCGTAAAGCTGGGGAATTTTGGTGTGCATGGAACACTGCTGACCCTACTCGCTTCATACCTAAGTGATAGGAAACAATATGTTGCTCTGAATAACAGTCGATCGTTCTTAATTGATGTAACTTCAGGCGTACCTCAAGGCTCACATTTGGGACCCCTGTTATTCTCAATTTTTCTTTTTGATATTGGCAATTGTTTTCATCTGAATATAGTCTTTATGCAGATGATCTGAAAATCTTCAGGACCATTAGGGGCATTGACGACTACATTAAATTGCAATCAGATTTGAATCGTTTCTCTGACTACTGCAGGCGTCATAAATTCATTGTTAATCCGGATAAATGTCACGCAATACTGTTTTCTCATGTTATAGCACCCAATACTATCAACCTGTTTATTGCTGACGTGTCAATCCGATTTGTAGACTCTGTGAAGGATCTAGGTCTGTTATTGGACGGAAAATTGACATTTCAGAAACATATTGAGAGTATGGTTAAAAAAGCAATGAGGACACTTGGCTTTATTTTAAGAATTTCTCGAGAATTAAACAATGTTAGCTCTTTCATAATGTTATTCAACACTCTTGTACGACCTATATTAGAATATTGCACAACAGTATGGAAACCCATTCTATGAAAAATATGTATCACAGATTGAACGTGTTCAAAAAAAACTCATTAATTCACTCAATTATAGATTTCATAGGCAACAACACTTCTCTGATTATGAATCAAATTTACGGCTCTATAATATTGAACTGCTTCAAGATAGAAG